GTATTGGGATAAAAACTGCTGGACCTGACACCGAATATCGGTATTGGGATAAAAACTGAAGGGGCTAGCAAGAAATATCGGTATCGGGATAAAAACGGAAGGGGCTAGCACCAAATATCAGTACTGGGACTAAAAACTGGGCATTTCTAGATATCAGATTAAAAAGGAAATCAGTGGCATCACCGATCCGTACTAAAAGGGTGGCTCTTGTAGGCTATTATTTTGCTGAAAGGGGACCAAAGGTGATTTTCGTATATATATATATATGTCTAAAAGACTTTTACCTACTCATAGCAGTTTAGGTATGCAGCGTAAATTACTATGACGATATACCCTGTTTGAAAGTTAGGTACCCAAAACTCAGAACTAAGCCTTAAGAAATCTTGCTAAGCCAGTAAACCCGCTTCATAGTAAACCCCACTGATTTAGATGTTTTTGCCACCCACCATATTAATCTCTCTCTGACTGGCTAATCACAAAACTGAATTTAAATCATAGCACATTTTTCAAAGCATCAGTTGGCAGAGTATATTGTCCACTTTCTAATAAGCCCAGTTACTGTCTGACACAGACAAAACTCCAAAAACAGATTGCTCCACAACTGGACCTTCCCTGTTAGTCAGATCCGCAAGGAGACACTTTTTTGCTTACATAAGCCCTATGATGCCTGCCGAAAACCAAACACTGCATGTCTATGTAAGAATTATCATTGTCAGTGTCATAATCTTTTAACACTTTGTTGCGTCACAAGCTGCCCAACTAGCTGTCAGTGAAGGACTTCTGCTCTATAATGTCCAGCCAGGAACTGGGCTAAGAACAGTTGGGTCATCCAATAGATCTTCGCCAGAATAGTCTAACAAGAAATGTTTGGCGTGGACCTTCACAAAATATAGACCTGTAGTATATCTCCTTTGGAAAATGTGGCAAGGCCTAAAATTGGTGTATTTAAAGCTGTTTGCACCCCAAACCTCCTGTTACCTATACATGTTTTTGCGTTGCTCAAAGGAGAACCGCACGGAATATGTCAGAAGAAGCACCCAAATGTGCTTGTGCTAATGGCATCATTTGATATTATCAGTCCTATATATCTCACTTCTTCTCCATATTAGCCACCGTTTCAGATCTTGCCTGAAAGGGGGTGTCAGATGGCTACAATGGATCAAGGAGACGGAAGCTTCCTTTTCGGCCCTCAAACATGCATCCGGGAGCTGAGATACCCCTAGAATGACAATTCACTCTGGCAACGCACCACATTCCATCAAAGCGAATAGCCCAAGAAAAGACACAAGCGCCCCAGTGGCTCATTGGTTTGTAACCTTGCAAACTGCACCTTCGATGACGTGGATTGTCCATCGCGGACGTACCTCCTCTCAAGCACCATGCGCCTGGACACAGCGGTCAATGAAGAACTCAGCCCTAGAAGATTTATTTAACACCCTTATATTGTAATGTTTTAATGCCCTTTAAAATCATATTAATTTCTGGAATAATATTTCTATTTCTCTAATCCAGTTGTGTCATTTCTCGCTATTATTTAGTCTCTATCTCACTATTGTTCCCCCACAGCTAACAAGCACAATGAAGTTTATGAGGGAAAAAAGCTATCAGCTTCATGTGAAGGAGAAAGATTAAATTAGAGAATTATGCTGCCTATAGAGCTTGCTCTGTTCCTACCCAACAGCCATGAAGTGGAGCACTCATCTGAGTGTGCTGAAGTGGTGCATCGAAATGTACAAAATCTGTTTTATTTCAAGGTGGGAAACAAATTCACTCTGTCAGGCATTATCTTTGTTACATTGAAGATACTAAAACTTCCGCCACTACTGCTAGTGTCAGAATCATGACGTTGATGGTGTTGATAATAATAACAACAACAACAATAATAATAATAATAATAATAACAATAATAATGATGATGATGATGATGATTCATATAAAGATATTGGGAGGAATCATTATGGTGAAGCACTGGGAAAGGGAGGAAGCGAGTGGGGGGAGTGGATATTGCAGTTACATTGATGTTTCCAGGGTGACTGATAGCAGCAATAGCAGGCAAGTGGACAAAACTCTGACAAGCCAAGCGGGGCTTAGGGGATGCTAATGGAAAGGTGGTAAAGAAGCAGTGGCACTCAGCTCACTGGCTCACTGCGCTGGGCACCATGCCAGGCTCATTTCAAATAACTGCATTAGCCAAGTGTAGCAGAATTATTACAACAGGAGAGCCATTATGTTTACTGGCTGTCGGAAAGTGCAACATACTTAGAGAGCAGAGAGCTGGGCAGCGTTTCTCACAAACATCCCCAAAAAGAAACACTATTCCTTTTGTTTGATTGTTTGTTTTTGTTCGTTCAATTGTTTGTTTGCTTGTTCAGTTAAATCTAGTACTTAAGAGTGTTTGCTTAGGCAAGCCATGATCAATGGCACTAATCCAAAAATTGCCTAATTGGCACTGGGAAACAAGACATCTACTGAAAACAAATAAGCCAAAAAACAGCAGGAAGAGCAGTGTAAAATGGTAAGTCCTGTGATTTGCAGTGACTTTTGAGAAGTGAATATTCCGTGTTAAAAATCCATTCACCCATTTGTCCAACCATCCATCTTCTAAAAGCACTTATCCAATGCAGGGCTGCAATGATGCTGCAGTCTATTGTTGGAAGCAGGGGACCATGGGAAAATGCAGAATTGCATACCTGTGATTTGCAGATATTTTTGGATACATATTTTGAAAGGTCTTGTGAAGCTCAGGTTGACCAGTAAGCTGTGGTAATTTCCATCGATTATTGGGAAACACGGGTAGCTCATGGATGTCTTGGGGGACGTGTTCGGGGGGACAAGACATTCAGATTAAATGCTGAGAGTGTAATGCAATATGTAAGATTATAAGGGAGGCCAGTACCAATGACCTGGGTCTTGTGGCTGTACTGGTTCAGTTAGAGAGCCAAACCATTTGTTGCAAGTTGTTCAGTTCACCTTCTTGATGCATCCTCAGGATGCCAATAGAATCACCCTGTTCCATCCTAAGATAACCTTATTTTGCTGTCACGAAAAAAGCAGGCTTTTCACAATTGTGTTTTGGAATGTTTGGTTTATATGGATTCACATATAAAAATAAATAAAAACATCAGTTATCAGATAGAGAAAAACTGGAATTTATATGCCAAACATAGCATGTAGTAATAATAATAATAATAATAATAATAGTGGTGATGATGATGATGATGATGATGATGAAATGCTATCACTGCAGTAGAGATGCCACCGTACTGAGAACATCTTTTTGAATAACTTTTGCCAGGTTAAATGGGGAACCACAGACTGCCCCCTCATTCTGCATTCTGAAACTTAAATTGCACAGACAACATTTCAATGCAACATTTCAAGAAACCCAGGCGCTTCACAGAATGCATATGTGCTGCTCGTGTGCATTTCTCCAGCCCCCATGCATAGCTCTGCAGCCAGCGAGCTGCGGAATGCACTACTGCTGTGATCTCCCTGCCTGACCCTTCCCGACACGGAGGGGGGGGGGGGGATCCACGCTTCAGCGCTTTTGATGGAAGCCAAGCTATTTCCCTGCAGCACGGCTCTTTGTGTTAATGGCTTCTAGCGTCACGGTGCCTCCGCTTGTGCACCCCCAGCCCAATGGCCCTTTGTCCATTTCTGCATGCCACCGCCGGCTCCACATTGCACTCAACCCTTGCATGTTAACTGAGAAACATCATGGAATGGAGTCATTTCCTAGCTTGGTCTCCCGTACTGTAAACATTATTACTGACGCATTAAGAAAACCGTTGCTGAACCACAGGAATGTCATCAAGACATACTGATGCCTCTACAGCTGTCCTTGCCTGTCCTACCTGCTCGCGGTCATGGAAGGAGACCTCTGCTGTGTTCCTCAGGTCATAGACGCCCAGAGCCTCCCGTCTGCTGGACAGGAGCGTCCTCTGCAGGTGCTAGGGCAACGTTCTCTCTGAAAGCCCTGGCCAGCTGCTTCTATCGGAATCAAATAAAGCAATGGGGGAAAAAAACAGTTAATAGTTTCCCAGTGTAAATACGTACAATATGTTTTCATTTCACATTTAATGTTAGCTATTTCCTTATACTTTACTATATGTTACGTTATAGGGACACAATGTCCCAACAACGTGATGAATATCTGTTTATTAAAAATCTGTAACTGCAATGAAAAAACCAAAAACACAAAAACTCTTGTATTTTGTTTGGTTACTTATGGTTATGGTTATGGTTAGGGTTATGGTTAGGGCAGGGTAGGGGTTAAGCTTGACTTAGTTAGAGGTAGCATTTTTCCCATAGAAATGAATGAGCGGTCCCCATAAAGATATGTTTACCTGACTGTGTGTGTGTGTGTGTGTGAGCGGGTTTACCTATCCTTATGTCCCCATAACGTGATAAATATCCATTTTTTTCACTTATGGGGACCGGTTTCCTGGTCCCCATAAGGGAAAACTCTATTTTATAAAAAATCAGTGACTGCTATGAAAAAACCAAAAACACAAAAACTCTTGTATTTTGTTAGGTTACTTATGGTTATGGTTAGGGCAGGGTAGGGGTTAAGGTTGTCATAGTTAGCGTTAGCATTTTTCCCATTGAAATGAAAGAGCGGTCCCCATAAGGATATGTTTACCCTACACGTGCGTGTGTGTGTGTGTGTGTGTGCGTGTGTGTGTGTGTGCAGTTACATTCCAGCTACTACTGAGGAATGTCACAACAGCAATCGCCAGCATGTTCTGGTATCAGGTTCTCGTATATTAATTACCTTCCGTAAAATATTTTTATTCGGTATATGTCAACACACGCATTTGTACACATTTGTACATATTATGCAAAATGTGCCACAGGCAGACACTGCAAATCAAATACTATTCAGAAAAGTAAGTAAATCCAGCACAATAAGTAACAGTCCGTTCAGCCTGCCCTTTATTTCATCTCAGCACCGTTTTTAAACCATCGGACAGGCTACTGAATATCTCAACTGTACCTAAAGAAATAATGGAGCATGTCTCAGCAGTAAAACTGAACGGCACTAAACTGATGAGTTTAACCCAGCAGAAAGAGCAGCTGTAAACATGACAAATGCCTGCTATTGATTTCAGGTTTAATTACTCTGTGCAGCACTGACAAACTCATCTGATGTTGTTGTGAAGTGTAAATGGAACAAAGCGCACTTCACTGCCCATGGGAAAATGATGGTGTCTGCACTTTGCATTGTTTACTTTAATTCCTCCAAACTTCAGCCTGGTTCAAATTAACAGACGCTGCTTACCTTTAAGATAGACTTGTGCATGTAGTCTGTCTTTCTATACAATAAAAGGCAACAGCTTCTCCAAATATATAAAAAAAATCCCAGTTAAATGCGCCATATGACAAAGTATTAATAACTGAATATGAAAGATAGCTATTGATTTAATTGAACTCTAGCAATTAAAAAATTAAAATGAAGAAAAAAAACCTGCGCATCTCACTGGGTTAGGTCTGAGTCTGTAATCAGAAGGTTGTTGGTTTGAACTTTGACAGAGGAGTCACGTCTCTGTCGGGCCCTTGAGTGAGGCCCTTAACTGCTGAAATGGTCCAGAGGCACCGGATAAACGACCCGACCCTGTACTCAGACCCCAAATTTTGTTCTCAACTGCATATGTGTGTGTGTGTGTGTGTATGCCTCAAAGGAGAGCAAGATGTGAATAGAAACACTACAATGTACTTGTGTTAATGGCTAATTAAGTATCATTTCAAAACTGTGCACTACTGTATTGGAGTTCATTAGGTATTAGGTTGTTTGTTTGTTTGTTTGTTTTGTGGCCTAATTACCCTACACAATAAAATATATATATATATATATATATATATATATATATATATATATATATATATATATTCAACTAGATCACTATTGAGTGATTAATCTAGCCCCTTCTCCCCTTTTAGATCTCAAATTCTTACATATTACCAAAACTGACGGAAACTAACAAATTTCTAAACTGCCAAGTGGAAGACAAAGAGAAAAGTGGCTTTTCTCAGAGGAAATACTGCATGTCTGTAAGAAGCGCAGGCAGTTTGTTTAGTGTTTAGTGTCTGTTTAATGTCTTTTGAGTTTCCGTTTCATGGTTGAGGTTTTCTTAAAGGCCCAAAGCATATTTATGCCCAACTTTAGATACTGCAATCCTCTGTTATTTAAAACCTAGTGCTTCCTGAAACCTACAACCTATATATATTTATTAAAATGGGATTATTTAGTAATTTTCAAAACTATAAGAAAATTGCCCATTGGGATGAGGCCAGCTCATGTTTCCAAAAGAAAACAAAAATGTGTAACTTTATGTTTTTGCTAATGAAACTTTCTATATATATATATATATATATATATATATATATATATATACTGTATATACCACGGCATTGAGCTGTTCACTTATGAACATGGCTGGAGGCTAATTATTCACCTTTCTTTTGAATCAAATTATGATTAACTGTCATTTTATACGCAATCAATTAATATCAAAGGATTATAGAATTCGTAGTTAGGCTGTCTATTGTCTTAATCACAATGAATTCACAGTCATTCGCACGTCAGAATAAGAGCGATTAGTATTCTGTTGAAGACGAGTCCTTGGAGTACGCATACTCTGTCGATCATAACCATGAAGATCACCTTCATGTGTCACTTAGCATTGATGTTTCTACATTCCTTTGGTGACAGTGGCTATTAAATCTTTTTTTTTCTTTTTTTTTTCTTAATAAAGTGTAGGTAATGGGATAAATCTCTCAAAGTAAAGACCCAGACAAATCATTTCAAAATAATATATGTAGATAAAACGCAATATCCAATTTGCCTTCTTAATTCAACAAGACATTGGATTATTTCCATGAATAGGAACACTAAAGGTATATAAGGGACAGCCATGACCATCTCCTGTCTGAAGAGTTTAAAGGTAGGAGAGCTTTAACGTTGTGTTGATAAAAAATGCATCATGAGAGCTGTTGCTCAAACCAATAAAGACGTGGGTTTCGCGGTTAGGATTGCCAGACTAGGCTCATTTTTTCTTCCAACACTTATCCAAAACTTTCAAGATGTTTTCATCGGTTTTTTTCCACCCTTGACGCCTCTATCCATCCCAGATGTTATATTGAACTGCTTTACATAAACCCAAAACAGCCTCAGGCTGTCCTTCCTCCAGTCAAGGTCTCCTCCACGACCCCTGGGACTCCTGTTTTACTGTAACATCAAAGCACAATGACTCCTTTTTTTGCAAGAACCACTTTATTATATGAACCGTGCCCTGAGGCTTTTGTTATACTGTAAAAACCTAGGGCACCTTCAGCAAAGGATCTGCTATTACTTCTTATTGGGTTCTATCAGGTGATATCGGGTGTGATCTTTATTTCAATTACTAGCATTGTAGTTTCCTTTTAACATTATATACATTTTAAACGTATGTAATAATGTATACTACCTAATATATCACGGTCCTCATGACATGCATTGCAATGATGTCTGTGCAATTTAAGGCACCTTAGCTTAGTATTAGTATTAGATGAGTAGCATAACAGTTTACTCAAATGACATGCTTAATTATGATAATATTAACCATGGATCGACATATTAGTAACTGGTTTGGTGAATAAGGCGAGGAAAAGATCAGCGTGAAACTGTTGGTGTATGGAGTTTGCATGTTGGTGTATGGAGTTTGCATGTTGGTGTATGGAGTTTGCATGTTGGTGTATGGAGTTTGCATGTTGTCGTGGGCTATCCTCCGAGTACCTGTTTCCCCCCACAGCCAAAAAACACTGAGTTGCGGGATTGCCCACAGTTGTCTCGCTGAGCCCTGCAATGGGTCGGGACCCCAGTCTGGGTTGTTCCCAGGTTTGTGCTTGTAGCCCCCAGGATTGGCTCTGGACCCCCACAACCCTGAATAGGACAAGAGGTTTCAGAAGATGGATGTATTGATATTATTATTATTTCAAATCTGTATTTGTTCAAGGCATTGATGAAACTCATATTTCTATTAGCTTTAAGTCTAAACCGCGCTAAGTTTTGACACGGGGCTACTTTGGGCTACTCATTCCTTTTATGCACATCTCTCCATGAATGATTTCCCTCTTGACAATCCATCACTGATTACATGTCCTTCTTCTTTACCGATCCTTAAGTCTCCCTATCCATGTCATGGATTTGTTTCGTAGACAATCTCACTCAACAAATGAGCTCAATTTCAACCCCATTATTAATTACATCATGGCCTTAATACGTTTAATAATGTTTATTAGATAATAATAATATCTTATATATAAAATATTAAAGCCTAACTTTAAAAAAAAATCACAAAAAAGACGTGCATATGTGTCTGCTGTTACACTGCATCTGTTTCTGTCTAAACACAGAATTAAACCCAGTCTTGTGCAAACCTGCACAGTCAAGTACGACAAAGAAGTTTTGCATGCAAAACAGTGGAGCCTGACAGGAGAAGGACTCCTAGATCATTAGAGCATTGAGCTAGAATGCAGCATTATTGTATACATCTGGTTTGATCCGATGTAGTGTTTTTTGGTGCCATGGGGTGCGGCAGCATTCCTGCACCTACCTGGCTAAATGAACCTTCCTGCTGTTGTCACAACCCAAAATTAGCATTTTTCATTGCCAAGCAAAGATTGTTTTTTTCATTTGCTGGATGACTTATAGTCTGAAAAAAGATTTATTAGCACAGCCAAATCTGCAAAATTGGAATTCTACCAGCTGATGTTAAGTAAGAAACCATAAAACACAGTATATAATATAGCTGCTGAAAAAATAGATATTACTATTAATTATGTATATCGGCATTGACTCAACATAACAGATGTACATATCTGCTGTTATAACCATTCCTTTGAACAGATATATTGTGCAAAAATCTAGTTAATCAGGGTACCCTTCTAGACAAAATTCCAGATGGCAAGTACAGATGTAGGTTTATCAGGAAATAAACTTACATCTGGCAAAGTTACAATCATCCTCTGCTTCACTATATGAAAATGCGTACTTAATTAAATAAGTGTCTGAATTGACATATGTAAACAAATTAACGGCACTCAAAAGAAGACTTTCTGATCCTAAAAACTGCATCAGGGGTGAGGACCAGAGGTGCCTTATTTGCCATAATCTTTAAATAGGCAGCGTAAAAATTCAATGAGAAGCGAAGTGATTAACTGGATACATAGATCAGACCCTCTGACCTCTCTAAATGATAAGGTTAATAAATCTACAGGGTTCATGGATTGATATTGTCCTTATATAAGCTACCAGGTAGATACAGTTTAATTAATTTACTGTTTCTTTGAAAAAATGAAAGCCATTCAAATTCTTTTTGGTCCAGTCTTGTTATTAATGTGGGTATGCGTTATTAAATAATGATTCATCTGTATTATATGTAATTGTGTTTGACATTGTTAGAATCCATTGTGCATTAAAGTTACATTAAAATATTAAATAATAAAGATAATCATAATAAATAAAAAATGTTCTCTAAAACAAATACAAGTAATTGTAACAGCAACAGAACCACAGTTAAAACATCAGTTTGTATGTCCTAATTTGTCTTTTTTTTTCAGTTATCTCCTTCTATTAATCAAACACAGCATTTCACAGATTGATAAAGAGAAATTCTGTCATGAGATGGTCTTCTGTAATCTATCTAAACTTGTATCCTAACATCTACGCATGTATCTATCAGCAATCAGACATGCTTCTACAAACGAGAAATATGATTAGCAACTGACTGAGAATCTCTTGCCATGATGGCAGCTACTGGTGCAGCACGATGAAAGGTTGAATGAAAGCTAGAGAACTATACCTGTACGCAAGCAATCTGAAGTTTGAACTTCATTAAAAGCCTTTTGCGTGAAGGCAGATTTGTCTGCGATAGCACAATCAAACCGTTTTTGAGTGTATTTCAGTGTGTGAGCCTCTTCATGCTTTTCTTTGTCCGTATCATGTCACGTGTCTATGACTACACACCCCACAATTATGAGTTCGTTAGTGGCGAAAACATAAGAGACTTTTTCTTTTGGTGGCACAAGGTACATAAGATACAGCAGAGGTGATGTGGCAAGGCGATTACCAACAGGAGTGAGCCTGTTTAATAACCTGTGGTATACAGGCATTAGGGCTGATCCTATCCAGTCACGACAAAATATTAAACTAAAAAGAAGCCGTTTTAGCATGGAAGCAGCAGTACCAGCTTTTGCCAGAAGGGGTGCTGCAGCTCTATATGAAATATTCATTGCAAAGTAGGAGAGCTGCCACAATCAAGAAACATACAGACTTATGTGTATTGTCACTATATACAATGCGTAGCAGTTTGTTCTCATCAAAGCACTCACTTATGATTTTGGCATTATTATCCCTATAGTTAATAACTGTTAATTACATATTTTACAGTCTTTAAAGCGAAATGTACATTTGCATATTAATTCTTATATAGCTTTTCCTCCCAAAAGCTCTGTACAGCCCTAGAGATTATACAGGTAGTCGTGTAATTGGAGAAGAATTTTGAACAGGAAAGTTTTAAGATGCACGTCTTTGCCGTTGTACTGCCTTATATGCAAAAGTAGAGCAGACGTGTGTACAGTAAATGCATTATGAAGCCGTCGTGAATCAGAGTGACTGTAACCTGTTCAGCCAAATCTCTGACACTTTTATCATACTCAGGTATCACTGTATAACACAATTGTACAAGCGTTAAGGGAAGAAAAAATCTTAAAAATATTTTATTTGCCATTTCAAATCTCTAAAGGGAAGTTTGTACCTGAATACAGTTATACCAAGAAAGTTCTTCTACATCCTATAAATTCTGTTCTTTTAACGTTGCTGTTTTATTTCTTCACAAGAATGGTCAAACACATTTGTGCAAGGCTGGTTTTATGCTACTGATGGGAGTTTTGTCTGTGTGGAAGACTTCTAATTCTCAAATTGTCACACTTCAATAACTTCTTAAAAGTTGTTGCGCCAGGATGCCTGGTGGATTAAGCTCCATTGCCTTTTCTTGTTTTGAACTAATGTATTCTTGATCACCGTTTAATGAAACTATATACCACATGGAGATTTCACATTAGATAAGCCATGTGAGACCCTCATCATGCAAGTGCCTCTGACTGAGGAGGTAATCCTTCAGATGAAAAATTCTAACTAAGCAAGTTTTCTCATCTAAATGACAGCACTGCTTTTAAAAAAAAATGTTTACAGAACCTGTTCTTAAACTTTTCTATTTTGTTCCTCGTTCTCAGTGTGGGAAGGTACCAATAGTACCTAATTAAGAAATAATTTCATCACTAATTGGGTACAATTTTGACCTAAACACTCTTGCAGTTCACGGCAAACTGCCAGCATTAGGAGATATTCTTCTGGCAGAAATAATAACGAAAATTAAATGTCATCAGAGTCACAGTACTGTAGCAGCACTACAGAGATATCTTTTCTCGTTAACTGCGGAGGAATGGCACAGCTGATTAGTTTCCAGATTTGAGATTTTATGTTAAAAGAAATTAGTCTACAATGTAAATTGTAAACTGGTCCGATACAAACTCAAAATACAAATGCTTATTCTCTGATATAATTCCGATATACCTTATGAATATTCATGGAAGTCTAATTGCAATAGAAAAACAAAATCCTGGTGTTTATTTTTACGTGAAGATTCTCATATCACAAAGAAAATGTTAATCTTGCTGCTTTAAAAAGGAAAATGGCTGATCTGTACATATACCTTGGTGTGCTCCATCATCAGGTGCCTGTCTGTGGACAAAGAGGCATGAATCAGCCCAGACACCTTTGTCGTTTTCGTGACATCCACCAACTCCTTCTGCAGGTTCCGCATGACGGAGGCTGCAGTTTTGTGCTTGAAATTCACCACATCAAAGACATTTCTGAAATCAACAGAAGCAAAGTATAATAAACTATAAGAATTAAAATAAATGCAAGTTGCATATCATGAAAAAAATCCTCACATTATTAATAAATGAAGGCATATCAAACATTTTTGATATACAGATCAGAAAGTTTGCCATCTCAAATAATTTTCCATATATTCCACAGTAGTTTCCATTAATTGTGAATGATTAATTACAAAAGTACAAGTTAAATGATGTAATGAAACCAACCTTCAGGACTACTGTGTCTTTTGAAATACACATTTTGGCATAACTTTTTATAAAAGTACAGACTTTTCTTTTTCGTAAAATAAATAAATTCCTTTGTGTTTAACTTTTCATTAATTTTTTCCCCCCAGTATTTTCACTTTATAAAATAATTCAATCATACAATGTTCGGGATATATTTAAAAGAAATTAAGAGAACTTACTGTTATAAACATGGGTAAAAGGGGAGAATTCTTAGTGAAAATAACTTCCATATAAAGAAGTGAACCATCTTATCCATTTCTTCATTAGAATGTTTCAATTTTACAGTAGCTGCCCATTGTAATGAAGTATTCACACCAACTGTTGCATGATAATTAAACAATGCATTCTGAAATCACCATTTATTTTTTGTATTGTACAAAATAGTACAGGCTAATCACTGTTAAATAATTCCTGTAGAACAAATTTTCTGACTGGAGATCTTTAATGGCATCCAGCATGGTTGCTGCTCCTTGCCTTGTGGTATCTGAATCGGCTCTGTAGTCGTTGGCCCTTGCGCTGACTTCCTCTATTCGGCTCTGGGTTTGTTCAGGCTGCCTCGTGTCTTTCCTGCGATTTGAGGAAAAAAGCACTTTGCAGCATAAGCTTCATCCAAAGCACAACATAGTCATAGAAAGCTTATAACAGGCATTAAAGCTTTTATATTTCGGTTCATATTCCATAACTATTCACACAGAACTTGGTCATGGTATGCTGTTAATTAATCATTGCAAATCAAGTGTTACATGCATTTTCTAGGATTATACAATATTTAGGTTTATATATTAATGTCTATAAAAAGGCATTCTATAGTCTACATAATCCCTTGCTATCTATCTATGATGTGCATGCCCAGTTAAGATTGTGTTATGTTTCGTATTATTAATACATATTTGTACTATAAATATCTGCTCAGGGGACATTTTATGATTGGATGGAGTTAAAAAAACACACACACAAGCTTAAAGATAAGAAAACTTGAACCTTATTTATTTAAAACATTGAATCTTAAAATCCATTCTTTTCTTTATGAATAATTTTTTAAAAACGACTATATATCACACATAGTGTATTTTCCAAATAAATAGCTTCTGTTTTCTCGCACCTCCCAATTAACAGCTGAGAACAGACTTGCCACAGGATGGGTGTTAACACCTGGTTTAAACTGTCTTCACACCCACCAACAACAACTTTAAATCAAACACCTAGATCAATTAGGCTCCAGGAATATGTTAAACTATTTGCTATCACAACATTAGCTTTGTTCTGTCTTCTGCCATCAGCATAATTCTTGTGCAGCAATTCTTTGCCCTCTGAGTATACAGTACTACACTTCTTTGCCCTCTGAGTATACAGTACTACATTTCTTTGCCCTCTGAGTATACAGTACTACACTTNTTCTTTGCCCTCTGAGTATACAGTACTACACTTCTTTGCCCTCTGAGTACACTACACTTTTTTGCCCCATTAGTACACTACAAAATATTAAATTACATTTGTCCCGTTCAGTTTATTACCTACCATTTTTGCACTCACATCTGACGCTTAACAATACTTACTTGTCAGAATTCATATTTCTGGAAAAAAAAAGACTCTTCTGGATAGGCATTGAAATTTGACTGGAATGTCTTTCCAATCTGTCTGTACCGGTGGCAATCATAGATAAACAAATGTCACCCATAGTCCCTAAAGTGCTAGTTAAGGATTTAGTTTAACTCTAAAAATATGTCTGAGTCAGTACAGATTTCATGAAAGGAATACTCTCCTTTCTTACTGCAGGGAATTATCTGTTATATCTGCCGTGAGGCAGTCAAGATAGAACAGAGCCATCAAAAAGAAATGCATTCTCCTAAATCGGAGTGACAATAATGTAGTGAAACAGAAAAACCGCAGGTCTTCCAAGATAAAGTTTGCAATGCTTGGTCTCTGACAACAACAAATTTAGCCCTTACTTCCCTTTATAAACAGCGTTAACCTTGTGAACTTGTGTTTTTTTTAAGAAGAGACAGAATATTCGACAGACCTATGAGTGGTGTGACAGCAGTGTGCACCTCCTTGTCATGATTCATAAAAAGCAAGTAAAATAAATTGGAAACTAAGCCTTGCTATGCATCTACCACCTATTAGCTCGCATTCAGGAATTTCATACTGCATCCATCAATTAATCTTTCAAAACACAACTCTAGCGATGTTTGCACAAAAATGAATCTGATCAAAGATAGTTATCTTTTAATGCAGTCCAACAATAATTCCATTGAGGTAATCTGTGTTGGATCATGCAGCTTTCTGTCTTATGCTGGCTGTCTGGACCTGTCACATGTCATTTTTTCCTTTTTCTTATGTTAGAAATCATTCACAGCATTTGCAGGAAATCTGATAGCGGTACTGTCATTGTCAATGCTCTTGAGACTGGTGTTTTGACCACTATTCTTCTTCCTCTGTATGCCACAGCTCTGGAAGATCTTGCAGAAAAATAATCAATTTTCATTCCTATGCTAATGGGAAACAAATCGATGTAACTCTGCCCACAGCCTCTTTGACAAATGGCGTAACAAAGGAAAGGAGGATGAATAAAAATGATATCTGCTTAAAGAAAATTATAGATGAGAATACGCTGTTGTAAATTCTTTGTGAGTTTAGACATTAGTGTTTCAGATTCAATGAGCATGTTACGCAGCGTGCCTAACTTTGATAATCCCTTTAACTCTTCTGTTAAAAGCATCAAAGGTGTTTTATAAAATTAATGTATGAATCACTTAAAGTTTCAGAAAGAAACAATAACATTACACCAATCGAGTTACACTTCAACTTAAAGAAATTTTGTTTTATACATATATATGTCATGTGTATCAGTCAGAACTGACATACTGAATAAAATTTCCTAGAACTCAGGAAAGGCAGGGAAGGCATGCGGGAAGAGCAATGTTATAATTGATCTAACTCTTCTCACTGAATAATAACCAACATGCTGTTGTAATTTTCCATTCAGTAAAGAAAAATATTGAAAATGTGAAAAATTCCTTCCATCATGACTTATGATTCCTTGAAATTTAATAAATATTCTATTTTAAATTGATCAATTTTGAGTTACATTTGTATGGAGCCCTTAAAGGGACAGAGTTGGTAAATATTATTGGTAACACTTTACTTAAATCAGTCATCATAATGCATTATACTGTACATACCTTCATAATATATTATAATGCATTCATAAATTATTATAAACATGGCTATAACTATTTATAAAAAGGCATAACACATTATAGTCATGTTTATTATGCATTATGGATGCTCTATGAAGCTCTCATCTATAATGCATTATAGATACTTTTATAATGCATTATAATGGTCAGCCACACCCACTGAGCAACATTCCACCCCAATAGTTTCTGCATGTGTACTATGCACTTATTCATGCAGAATGCATGCATGGTACATTCAGCTCTTGCCTCCAGCCATTCTAGGCCTTTGGCATTTCTATTTCATGCAGTGTTGTCATAAATTAGAGCAGGGGTCTCTGACTCCGGTCCTGGAGAGCTACTATCCAGTAGGTTTTCTATCCTACTTGGCTTCTGATGAGCCACACCTGCTCCTGGTATTTACCTGAGAACAGGTGTGGCTCATCAGAAGCCGGGTAGGATAGAAAACCTACTGGATGGTAGTTCTCCAGGACCGGAGTTAGAGACCCCTGAATTAGAGAAAAGACATATAGATTGTCTGTACGAGTATAACAGTGGTCAATTGTGGTCTGACACTCAAATTGTTAGGCAGCTGATCCATGTTCCTTAAACTGGTTTGTGACCCTTTCAAAATGACCTGTATTACTGCAAGAATGACTCAAAACAGGCGATGTGTTGGTGAGACTGCAATGGCTGCTTTGCTGCCTCAAGGTCTATACAACTCGGAATCATCAATAGACAAAGGAATTCCAAATTGTAGCATAAAATTCTGCATTACAATGTCACAGCGTCGATGACCTAAAACTCAAAGGGAGCTGGATCATGCGATATGACAATGATCCCAAACGAGGATGTAAATCAACAACAGAGTGGCTCAAACAGATGGAATTCTGTATTTTATAATGGCCAAACCCTGAACGTAATCCCATTGAAATGCTAGAGCATGATCTGAAGCAGGCCGTTCAAGTAAGACATCCCAGAAATATACATGGACTGAAAGGAAAAAGTCAAATAGCCTCCTGTCCACTGCACATGTCCAATCAGCAGCTACAGGAATGGCTCTGTATTCCTTTTACGTCACTGACTTTCATGCATTTGTTCAGTAATCATATTGTGACGTAAAATGTTGCATGTGCTGTTGTCAAATAAGAATCAGATACATTTTACGAAGCAATTCATGAAGAAATCTAGTTGTTGACAGGCAGTGGAAACTCATCTCTGAATATTTAATAGGTTTTTACCCTTTTGTCCCAATTGCATCAAGTATTTAAGCTTATACAGTTATCCAAATGTAAGCCGATGGGAGTATTTTGACATAAGAGAATCTACATTATTATTCCTACAGGTTTAAGACTTTGAGTCAAATAGCATGCGCTAGTATTTCCCCCAACAAGAACCTTGAAAACATTATCATGTTCTTGTGAGAACAGCTGTTGAAATGAAAAGCAACAAAATAATTGTCAGTCATGCATCTGATTGTGTTTTATGCCTCCTAATCATTTGTTTGAGGCATCTTGTTCTTTTACTGACATCACATGATCTTCTAATTATATAGATAAGATATGTTATAATTTCATTGTAAAAGTTGGAAGTTTGTAACTAGCAATTTAAATTTAATTGAATTTAGGATCTGTCGCCATTTTTCTAGTTGCCTAATGGTTTTATTTATTAAACAAAATTTTATTTGTATATTTTGTATAGAAATATGCTTAGTGTCAGGTATGGGAGAAAAGAACTTTGCTAAATGTCACTAATGTAAACCAGAAAGTAAAGACAAATTTCAGGTATTGAATCAGCTAGTCATTACTCCTAAGGTCTGGATATAGCACGGTTCCCCAGTTCCGGTCTTGGAAAGCCGAAATCCGACAAAGTCTGCAGATTTCCTTGTTCCAACACATCTTCAAGACCTGGTAATTATCTGATTAAGGCGCGTTTGAATAAGGAAATCTTCAATCTGCTGTCCAGCACCGATATTGGGTAACCCTGCGAAATAGTGACAACTGTGGCTATTCATAACATAAGTGTCATGCTTATCAAACCACGGAATTATACATGCTGGACAGATTTGCTTTTGATTTTCATGTTAATTTTTTTGTCTTTTAAATATATTGTTTTAATCATGTTTTAAATTTCAGTTCCCTTATATCTTTTTGATTTGAATTTCCCTTGAATTCTGTATTTTTCTTATGTGTAAAGCACTTTCAATGAACCCGTCTCACCGGGATTCACTAGTACTTTGTAGTGAATTAATGTTTCCTTATAAAGTCTTTTTATCCCACAACAAGGCACCCTACCTTTGCATAATGTTAACTCATCGTTGAAAAAATCATAATATAAACATTTTTTTCTATTATTTGAAAATCCATTGCAATCCATAATTCTTTTGCATAGCTGGATTTTCAGGAGTGCATTGTCAGTTATGGTGAACATGTGACATTTGCTATTAAATTATCTATTTAGCCTTGCACTTTGAATTATTGCATCTTGTAATCCTGAAGCATATGTCAGACACATAACCACTTAGTAAAACTACAGGTTTTGAACCCCCTTGAAATTTGTTTGCTCCTGACCAAACATGTACTGTAGACAAGTAACAAAATGATGAGTCTGAATGCCCTCGCTGTTTCGTTGACAGTGACTGTCCCTCGGAAACACAATGCTGGACTCAGAAATCACTAATCATAAAACATGAAAAGTTTTTAGACTTTTGCATATTCTCCAAAAATCATCTGAAGACACACACCCCTGCTTTAATTTCTCCTCTGTATCCAAACCACAAAGATATATAAGCAGCCCTCTTAATTCAAGTGATGTTAGGATGATCAAATTAAAAATCTGTAAAGATCAATAATGCCACTACAGTACTCATTTCTTTCAACAAATACATTTTTAAATTACAATTATTTTAATAACAAACGTAGGATTTAAGTAATTCATAGTTTATTTATTGTTTTTTTGTGTCAGATATTTCTGTCACCTTGGAATGACACCTTTTAATGACTTTTGTCCAGTCTAGAGCAGAACTTGTATGTTAAGTTCCTATAAGTTCAAGAACATTAGACATTAGTAACCAGATAATCCATGTCAGGGAGACACTTTGAGCTACTTCGGGTTTTACAAACTACTTTCAAACTGAAAGGCTCCTGTGCTCGGCGAAATAGTTCAGCTCTTCTTGTGCTTTGGTTTGTTTCCTTGACTGAAAGACTCATCCAGCTGTTTCACATTAGCATTAGTGACACATGTATGATCATAGGAGACTGACCAATCAGCACGCAGCAAGAACTCAGTGCTCAAGTGAAATCCAGGTCCTTTTAATTGAAATGGTAATTTACAATTCCTGTCCTAGCTCAGCGATAGCATTGCCAGACAGTTATATAGTATATAAGTGATTGATTAATACTGATTATACTTAATACAACCATATGCCACAACCACATAAAACTGCCATACAAAGTGTATGTAAGGTGTAATTGCATGTTATCTCAAAAATGAGACAAATTATGTGTAGTATACAATACTGTGTGTGATATATCCTTGATATTTAACAAATGCGATGTGTCACTCCCTTATCACAACTGGTTACCTATACAGTTGTATTTGTATTTATTTTATTTTATGTGTTATGTGTCTTATTTCATAATAATTAATAGTTAAATTTGTGATGGAACTATTCCATAAGCCAATGAGTGAATGGGTCACATGAAAATGACACTTAACATTGCTGATAGCTGATGTGCTACAGTAATCATAATGCTATATAAAATATTCATGAAGGAGTATTCTTCTACCCTGCTCAGAAAGCCAATCATTTTTTCAATCAATTGAACAAATAATATTTTATAATACTAGTGGCACAATCAGGACTAAAAGAGAAACTGAGAACAAACATATATACATTCATATGCATTAACATTTCATTGAATTACTGGTTAAATGATGTTACACTGAGAAATCATTGTTTTAGCCATGAAGGAGCTAAGCTCCGACGATTTCCCATTTGCCAGATGCCATCTGCTGTACAGCAGTGAGATTAGCAGCCAGACCGTCTTGCACATGTATCAGCTGCTGCAGAAACACTTCCTGTAAAAGAACTAATTTTCCTATTAATATAAAAAAAATCGTGTTACGTTCTACCCCAGTTAAATAACAAAATTTATATATTTAGCTATCACTGATTCTTCTTTAATAGCTGAAATAGCGGCCAGCACATGGCAAGCTGGACTCTTTTCCTCAAAGGAACCGTTCCAGAGCTAATTCCTTCGCCATACTTACTCCTGAATGATAAGATGAACACTTAAAGTCTCTATCAATGAAACATTTATCTTAATTGTCCACAAATCAAGCCAGAAACAGCACTTATACAATTCAGTGAAAAATGTTGTTGTTCTTTGTTTGTTATAAAAAATTACATGTAAATACACCAAATATCCCACACAATGTAATAAAAACCTGCTTTTTATATTGTGGGGACCATTTTTCAGGTCAAATGCCAAAAGTCTTGTATTTTGTTTGGTTACTTATGGTTAAGGTTATGGCTGGGTAGGGGTTAAGGCCGTCATGTTGGGATTAGAGTTTTCCCCATAGAAGTGAACGAAGAGTCCCCACAATGATATAAATACAAGCCTGCATGTGTTTGGGTGCTATGTCACTTTACCTGAAGAATACTCAGGTGCATTTGCAGCATGTCCTTCTGCTGTTCCAAACAGGCATTTGTCGCTTTATGTCTGATCTGGAGTTCATGCAGGTTTTGCTTCAATTCTTCAATTTTCTGGAATAGATTATCCATATATTCAGTCTGTCAATGCCTATAGTGCTACATAATTATGAGATAGGTGCACATGGCTTTTTTGCACTTAGTATATTATAGTTATATTACAGGCCAGAATATAAAACTATGTTTTGAATAATTCATACACTTTGTCCTGTCTGTCTAGCTGGGCCACTCTTGCAAGATGTAAATAAGCTATTTATACTGACTATACCTCATGTCTACCTTGCTAGTCTGAGTAAACAGCTGTGGGAAATCAGACGCAGATCTGCAGCATCTTTCCATTTATGAAATACAATGTAAAACCCATATGGTGTATATCTTCAGGTGGGTTATTAAAATGCAACAGTGTTTAAACACCCTGTCCATATACTACTGCAATGTATGATCTAGCACAAGAAAATTAACCTTTAACTACATAAGTCACTAAAATAAGGGTTAATTTAGTTATACCGGTTAATTTAACTGCTTGTCTTGTGAGCAGAAAACCCAAAGGATATCTTTATAACACAGGAAGAACATCACAGGATGGGTTGTCCTGCACTATTTTTTTGTCATGTGAATGATGTTTATTTTTTCAGATTGTTGGCAGCTGAAAAATTAGCCAATAAATACGCCACCTAGTTGTCACTTAAGGAAATTGCATTTTCAGTGCAGTGGTGCATGCTGTTCTATATTCCATCAAAGGGCAGCATGCAATACTTGCATAGGTTCACACAGCTGATTTTAAAAATGAAAAAGAAACCCTGGAATAACTCAAGCTGTATCACTTCACTCTCTTGGTATAATACTCCTTAGTATAATTCACCAAATATGTTTCTGCCTGATGCTTTTTCAGGCCTTCAGGCCCTATCCCCATTGTACCAGTAGCACTTACAGCCTCTTCGAGTTCTGCCTGCTGTTCTTTACGTGTCCTCTCTGTGTTTGGCTGCTCCTGTCAACCTTCATTGCAGACATTTTACCCTAAAATGCCATCACAAATAATACATTACTTCAGGGTTATACTATTGTCATCTCGAAACAATAATGATTACAACAACCATAAATAATACGTTATTATTATAATACACCCATGCATCTTCTACCCACTTATCCACGACAGGGCTGCAGACTGGCTGGGGGCAGGGACTGAAAGTCAGTCCATTTTAGGGGACAGAAACAAACTGTGGGCAATTTGGAGATGTTTTAGTCTACGGGAGGAAATCCGACTGCCTGGAGGGAATCCCAAGTGCCTCGGGAAAAACACGCAAGCTGCACACGCCATGCAGCGTGGGATTAGAACCCTGAACCGCAGACGTGGTTTAACCGGACATGTAACTGGGTTTAAACATTGCACACTAAAATATTTGATTTCTCCATTACATAATTTCATCATTATTATTCCAATTTAGTTCCTCAAAATGATGAAAGTTGGCATGCAGGGTTACGTACAATGGTCAAGTATGACCAAAGACAGCACCATGTGATTCTTAAGACTCTATTTTGCAAACCTAATCTAAAAATTTTGGACTCAATGCTGTTAAATTTAACAAAAAAAAAACATCTTTTAAGGACTGAAAATAGTGCCTAAAAAGAAACAAGAGACAGAATAGATGTACAGTATGTCATTGTCATACTTTGAGGATTTCCTGTTCCTTCATTATATCCATTATCTTTTTCTTCATATTCTGTGTCACATACTTTTGAGACACAATCATACAAAGCAAAACCTGTGTAAACATTTTTATATACTGTATACAGTACATAAAATGCATTTTTAGCATGCTTGTGTGCTTATATATTGTTTTTGTTTATGTATGTTACTGAGGCAGTCTGACCCTATACAGCTGGGGGGGGGGGGTTATTTATGTTTCACCAATGTTTTTTTAAGGAAGTCTTCTGAAAGATACAGATAAAACATTCCAACGCCTAGGAAGTAACGTTGCTAGGAACGCAATAGGAAGTAACGTTTACCCCGTCAGTCTCTTGAGAAGAAATTCTCTCACTTCTTTGGGCAAACTTATCCAACAGTATTTCTCATTCAGATCTAAAAACATTCAGTTGACTCTGTCCATATATGTAAAACAAAGTCCCAAGTTATATCCAAGCTATAACCTATAACTGGACAGGTACATCACTGATTTTCATGTCCTACAGTTTCTCACATGCTTTTTCATTAGAACAAGCTAATAATTTAAACCAGAAGTACCGTTTCCCCCTAACAAAAGGATCTCAGCCATGACAACTGGAACGATGACTGATGGGCCAGTGCAGAACTCTCAGCTCGGAGACGGAAATTCAGTAATGCCTCAGCTCAAAATAGTGTTGTTTTGCTACAAAATTAAGTCAGAGTAAAGGATGATGAGAATGAGCAAAGAGAAAGCACAAAGGCATTCAGAATAACAAAATGAAAATGCAAAAAACAGAAAACAAGCAAAAAAAGGCTGCAACTCAAAAACATATAGAATTCTCTCTCTCTCACACACACACACAGATGTTTGTAATTATATTTGTGGGGACTCTCCATTTCTATGGGGAAAACTCTAAGCCCAACATGACAACCTTAACCCCCATCCAGCACTAACCTTAACCATAAGTAACCACACGCACACATACACGCACACACACACACACACACGCACACACCACCCTAAATCCAGCCAATCCAGAGTGTGAGAAACAGCAAGTTTGGCAAGAAAGCAAATAATGAAGCTTAATGCACATTTCCCTGCCAGCTGGCACACGTGCAGACATTCTTCTCGTGAGTTTGTAGATGTTTCACTGGACATCTTATTACGTGTATAACTAGGGCATGCAGAAGTGTGCAGTGTGAGACAGACCCTGATCTCCAGCTCCGTCGTGAAGCTCCATGACTGCAAACGCTCCAGCTGGGGTCCTGGTTGCGCTGTGAGTTGCAGCCACATGGGAGAGCTCTGCGTTTGCTTTGTACGTCTGCTCCTTGTTGTGACTAATCTGCAACAGCATCCGCTTCCTGTCACTGTGAAGCTGCTTCGCAACCTGGCCACTGAGAGGGAACAAGCGAAAGCCAACGTCTCCTTCTGTGTGTTACTGATTCCCAGTGCGCTACGATTTCAATACAGATTGTCATGACTAATGCACAACAGTACAATACACCACCTATGGCAAGAAAAACACCATATCTCAAGAAGTTACCCCCAAAACCATGTCATACCCCCTTAAACATAGGAAGCATAATCCTCAAATACAATGATTTATTGTATTCTCAATCTGAGTTAAATTATTATTATTAACTTAAGTAAAAAGCCAGATGCCAAAAAACAGAAAAACCGAAATTGCCCATTGTGCTACATATAGACAATATGTAAAAGGAATCCACATTTTCAGGGTCAACTGTAAAAAAAAACCTCAGCATTTTTTTTTACCCGTGACTAAAACTATCTATCTGTCTGTTGATCAGTCTTCCAAACCAAACAAACATCTTACTTGGAAACCTAGGCTGTGTAAACATAATAAACAAGGACATATTGATTTAAACTGTTAAGGGATCTGGATTTACAAGTATTCTTTTTAGGATTCCTTGTGCTCTCTGCCCTGGTAAGCTGTAAATAATGGTGGCCCCAAAGGAATAATCATTCAACCAAGTCATTGTTGTGTGTTTATATATACAGTATATATATATATATACACACACACACACATATATGATTACAAACACGAACGCAATTGCATCTGTCAATGTCAATAGCAAACCCTAATAGCAAATAGTAACCTTATTTGCTTACTGTCAAAATAAATATGCAAAATTAATTTGGAAAATCAAACATATAATGTCATGATCATAAATGACCTAAGATTCCTTCTAAATCTGGTGTTCTCTCCTACTGAGGATGATTGTCTATCTATAGCAATAAACACCCCAATAGCCATAATTGCGTTTTTAGCCCAGTCTGAATTTCCTGGTCAAAGCGCCTTGAGATTCGACGGGGAGCCTGACTTGCAGAAGTTGTTCCTACCATGCTCCGGTCGGATAATGTTGCCTCAAATGAGCTGACACGTTGGTTATGTCTCCAGTAACATCTCCGAGTTCAGTATAACAGAGCCAACAGATGGTCTTAATCTTATCACCAACTCTTTCTTCCACGTTGGTGTAATTGACAGGGAGACCAAAATTCCGATTGCAGTACAGTTGAGTCCCTGTGCTAAGTGCTACGCACTTTGCCTCTGCCTTGCACGATATGATTCTGACGCATGAACTTATGTTAATCTTATCTTACATACTGTCATGATTCTGCCTCAGGAACATGGGAAGCGGCATCTCTTCAGCCCAAAGACAGATGGCCACCAACCTCCAGCAGCACCATGGACAGCATCCACCTGTCAACATTTCAGCACCTCTGTTGTGGACCAGCTGTTCAGAGCCGCTCCACCCCTAATTCTCCACGCCTGGTTCCCACTAACGGCTCCAGCTGGCTCCTGTCTGGGGAGCCTCCCTCAGCACTCAGAATGAAGACGCCCTCGGAGGCACTTTGGCAGGTATGTAGCTGCCGTCCGCAGGCTGGCTGAAGTTCTGTGATACCCTCTCCAAAGCGAACGAGACTCAGGCCCAACTGGAGTCAACTACCGGCCTGAACCTGCCAGACCATGCGGCCCTCTCACCACCTACCCTGTTCTCTAATAATCACTGCCTTCCTGGGGGGGGGACACTCCTTGAACCCACACTTGCCTATGTGTCGTGCTTGCTAAAACCCTAGGTTCTAACCCTAGGTGCTTCCCTGTTACCAGTAGGAGCTAATTCACATTTTTCTCACACATATTTCCATCCACCGCCAAACTGCATATTCATTACGGGGGGGTAGAAGAACCTTTCCTTAACTGCAATCTCTTACTGAAATCACCTCTTTAAAAACACTTGTTTTGGTCCCAGGTGTGGCAGCATTCTGGGTGCACACACATGCTCTCTCACTAATCACTTTACCTCTGTTATTTAGAGAAGGAGATCTTTAGTATAAAAGAGCTGTTAGGGGAATTAATGGTAAGACTTTACTTAAGGTCGTGTTTCTCACATCGAAAAGGGGAATCACGACCCAAAGGCAGGGTGGTGTAGTGCGAAGACCCTTTACAGGGTGGTTTATTGACAGGACACGGAAAAACCAGCAAACACAAATACAGAACTAGAGATTGTAGGACTGGGACACTTATATATATGGCTTATTAGGGCACAACACAAGGCAGCTGTGGGTGGTTCACAAGAGGGCAGGAACACTAGGAAGGACTAACAAGCAGCAGGCATATTCAGTACAGACCATGCCCTAGAGCAGTGTTTCTCAACCCAGTCCTCAGCGAACCCCAGCCAGTCCACGTTTTTGCTCCCTCCCAGCCACCAGCCAATCAGGAACACCGAATAGCTGGTACAGGTGCGCTGGGAGCTGAAAGGAAGCAAAAACGTGGACTGGCTGGGGTTCGCTGAGGACTGGGTTGAGAAACACTGCCCTAGAGGAAACGAGGGGATCTGACATGCGGAATGGGGAGGGTGCGACACAAATAACAATGCATTCATAAAGCATTATAAACACATGAATGAATGAATAAATAACTAGATAAATAAATAAGTATTAAAAAGCATAACAGATTATAGCCATGTATATTGTGCATTATGAATGTTCTGTGAAGCTCTCATCTATAATGCACTATAGATACCTTTATAATAAGCATTAAGGATGCGTTGTACTGCATTATAGAGGTATTTATAGTGCATTATAGATGAGAGCTTCGTAGGGCATTGATAATGTATAAAAACATGGCTATAATATATTATGCCTTTTAATAAATATTGATAGTCATATTTATAATGCTTTGTGCATGCATTGCTGTATAATGCATTACAAATGTGTTTATAAATTACTAAAAGCATGGCCTTAAGTGTTACCGAATCAATTTTAATTAATTTCAATTATAAATTTGAACAGATTAAACAAATTAGACATCAATTGCCATCTTTCCTAAAATTGTGCAGTGCCTAATTCCATCATAAGCATGGACCAAAGCTATTTCACTGCTATTAGATTACTGTGAAATTACCTGCACAAGGGGTTCAAAAGGTTTGCAGCCAGCTCAGGCAGCATATGGTTATCTACACCTTTTGTGACTAAATTATTCTCTGCTTTATATATATTCTTTTCAGAACACAACCATTGTATCCCACTTGATAATGGTCCTTTGATGCAGAGAGGGCAGATGGAACAGTACAGAGGCACATGGGAGATCTCACTATACTCCTGTGCATATCTGTGTACAGCACTATTCAACACATCCTTTCACATCAATGTTAAGGTACATGCTTCTCATACCACATTTTATGGTACTGAATTAAAATGTTTTATTTATATCTATGATTTTTTTCCAGTTTATACTCAGTTTAGCTGCAATGTTTATAACGGTCAGTTATCATCTTGAATAGTGGTTTCAAATTTGTATTTCTATTGATCCCAGCTTTCTGTCTCATTACCAATAATCCTTGCCTCCCTGCAGCCAATAATAATAATCCCTACTAGGCTTTGCTTACCCTTAACACCAACTTTACGAAAATTGCCCTTATGGTAGCAGCGTCTAATGGCTGATACTCCATGCCTACGTCAGTAATATGAGCACATATGCAGCCCTTTATGTTACTCTAGTGTACCTTACAAAAATAGTCATTGAAGGGAGCTTTCGTCCTCCTGCCAAATGCATGGGAATAAAAGGGAGGTGTGAATTCTCATTCCCTACTCTTTGTTTGCAACATATTTCTCCTGTTCTCATTCACAGTTCAACCCAGTGGAATGTGAAATGCCTCCTTTGTGGAAATTGTTGAGTATCACAGCAAATTTGCTAGTTTCCAAGACAAAAAAATGCATGAAAATTCTGCACTGTTCTAAAAATTATGGACCCTTATGGTAATGATGAAAATGGGTTCAAAGTAGCTGATTTCTACCCATAAAGCTCATTTTTACTTGTAAAAATTACTTGTAGAGCTAATAAAAGACTGGCATTCTTTATTGGACAGACCATTGCTTTTGAGTTGTGGCACCATTCCTGATATGCTTACCCTTTGGTGTCATCCTCAGCGTAAAATAACATAACATACATTGTGACAATGTCATGTCCTGCCCACCATGTCTACCTGACCCTCCCGTCTCTGCCCTGGTGTGAATCAAACAAGCCACACCTGTTACTCATTTGTCTTGCCTCTCGTTTCTAGCCCTCATGTTGATCACTCCCAGCTGCCTCTCATTAGCTCCCTCGTGTCTTTCACATATAGCTGCTTCCTAGTCCTGTGTTCCCCAGTCCAGTCACTGCTGTCGCAAACCATCTTGCTGTCCGTGCCCTTCTTTATTTTGTTCCTCCCATTTTGATCCCTCATGATCCTGTTTATTTCAAGTCTTTGTTCTTTTGAGTGCAATAAACCCCTTTTTTGTTTCACTACCACACCTGCCCTCGAGTCCTTCATCCCAAAAGTCACAACAAACATAAGTTCCCCCAGGCCATCCTTAGTATGATTTGGTTATAACTTGAACTTTCCAGGAGCCAGGTGCAGAGGGAAGAACACAAAAAGAGGAATGTAATAAACAAAGGAACCAACTAACCAAGTTTTGGGTTAGAGTAACCCGCAACACCACTGGAAAAATCAAACAAAACTGAACCACATATAAAACTAGCTACAAAATCCAGACCAAAATAAGCATGAAACAGTGCTTGACCATGGATGAAGACTGGCCAGGTTGTTCTGATTGTTTATGTAGCTTCATATATTGTTTATATAGCTCAGGGGTGGTGAACCTGATGCATGGAGAGCCACTGTGGGTGTGGGTTTTTGGGATGACCCCTCAATCAACAAATAATACTGCAGTGGTTTTCAGCGCCAGTCCTAGGGACTCACTGTCGTTGGCTGATTGAGAGGTCATCCCAAAAACCCGCACCCACAGGGCTTCCCTGTGGATTGGGTTCACCACCCCTGATATAGCTGTTTGTACGTTTTACAGAGCTCATCCACTGCCTGCACTTCCG